TTTGTTATCAGTTAAAAGTTTATTATAAGATATACTTGACAAAAATTCGTACATATTATTGGACTATATGAATGAAAACGCTTTTTTCTTTAAAAATATAAACAAATTTATGTAACACGCATCTTTTAATATAAAAGTATAAATTGTGATCTTTATGTCAAAATTACAATATACATGTTTAGCTTTCTGTATGGAATCATCAAATTGGTATCATCATGTATCTAATAAATAAAAATAGATATTTGTATTGACACCCCATGTTCTTCATCGAGTTCCACATTGTCGGCATCGATTTAGTATACATATATATTATATATTTATACTAGACATAAAAAATAATTTTTTATATCTCTTACAAATCAAAAATTAATCTGTGTTACAAAATTAATAAAGTAATAAGATTTCCTATATTTAAAAATACAATAATAATGATAGAAATAGAACTAAAAAAAAATAGACGCTATATAGAGAAAAATATTAATATCAAAATGTTAGTATCAATTAGAATTGACTTTTATTTCTCGATCTTTTAATAAAATTTGTTAATTTTGTAATATTAAGAGATATTTTGAATATTAGCACACCTCTATAAGCGCCTATTCTCTCTCTAATTATATTTTTATCATGATTACTTCTTATGAACCACTGATTCTATGATAACTTTAATACTTTTATATGCAGAAAATTAATTAGAAAAGTATATAATTAGAACAGTATATCATATTATATAAAAAATAATATAATTTTATTCAAAAAAATAGTGTACATATATACTATGTATTTACTTTTAGAAAAAAAAATATAAATCTTATACATGTTTTGCAATTGCATAATTAACAATAAAACATATATTTGTATGAGACATTGGTGTGTAGAAATCGGTTCGAGATCTCGGATGAAAAAAGAATTGACTAATCGCTTTGGCAATGTGACCAAATTTTTCAAATGTGATTTGTTAATTCATTCTCTGTCGTGATCTCGGACCGATTTTTAGCATCGTGGTCATCAGACAATCTTTACAACTACGCTTATACAATTGTAAGAATAGGTTTAATAATTTCAACTTATCAAAAATCGTATTCCAATGTATTCGCTTTCTGATAAGTTGAAATCGTTTATTCTTTATTCCTAGTTATCGATCATGTAACTTTTTCCCTAGGGCGGAAAAGTGAAAATTTTTTGTACTACAGCCGGTAACAGAAATATGGCAATACTTTTTTTCGATGGATTTTGGAATGCAGCTCATGTACTCATCAAGCGATTGGTTCTTATTTATGGATTTATGAATAAGAACCAATTCCGAAACCCATGGAAAAAAATATGTTGCAACCTTTCTATGATCGGTTATATAATGTGTGTATATGACCTCTGCTACACGGCACACTTAATCTGATTTAATAACCGTAGTTATGAAAATGGCCAATCATAGCTGTTTCTCAAAAAAATGGAACGACTGTGATTGGCCAGTTTCATAACTACAGATGCTATGTTCATACATATAACAATGTCACAGAAAAATTGCACACTTTTTCTTCGACGGATTTCGAACGCAGCTTGCTTTTTGAATGATTGGTTCTTACTTATGGATCTATAAATAAGAACCAATCGGGTTTGGTGATCAAGCTGCATTCCAAAACCCATCGAAAAAAGTGTTATAACCTTTCTGTGTATATAAAAATTTTCACTTTTCACGTTTTCGCTCTAGAAAAAAAGTGATTGATACTCTAATGCTCATTTTCACCAATGTAGATTTACTTTAAATTCGAGTCAACTTACTCTTTATCTTTTTCTAATCTTTAAAACTAGAAAAAAACGAAGAGTAAGTTAAACTGAGATTAAAGTTACTCTATATTAATGGAAACGGGCATAAGGAACTCCGCACAATAAAAGAAACATGGAACAGAACAGAGAATAAGAATTTCAACCTATCAGAAACTATATATTCCACAATATATGATTTCTGATAGGTTGAAATTCTTATTCTCTGTTCTTTGTCTTCTGTTCCTTTTATTGTGCGGAGCTTCTAATTCTTTGGCTGTGTTTCTAAATTCACTGGCAGCGCTGAAAATCTACAGTCTACGATTAGTACTCACAGTCGATTCATTTAAGGTTGCTTAAGTACAGTCTTAAGATGTCATAAGCCAATCAGAGGGCCGTATTAGCATCTTAAGACAATACTTAAGACGATCTCAAAATAAGAACCGACTATGAATACTGGCCTACGTCATACTGTACTACCGACGAGATACTATTATGTCGGTGTGTGTACTATACATTTTTAGCACTGACAGTAAATTTTGGAGCACAGCCCTTAAGGTGCCTTTTCATGCCGACGCTCGACGCTTATTTTCGGCGTCAAATAAGTCGCGTGATAGAAATTGACAAATGTCAAGCGTCAATTTTGATCACGTGACCTATTTTAACGCTGAAAATGTCAGCATGAAAAGGCACCTTTATTCCTTTTATTATGCGCATGGCCTTTACATCATGCGTCTTTTCACCATGCCAATTGTCATAGTGCGTTCTTCCGGTTTTCGTCGCTCTTTCAGACGAACAAGATGGCTGATCAGGTACGTGTTCGACGCCGCGATCGTAAATAAATCAATTTCCTCGTTTACACATACAACATTATTTTGTGAAAATATACCCTCGTCATGATTAGCGTTAGCTGATAAAAGTAGTTTATCAAGTAAGACCGTAGATCGTAGATCGAGATACGTTCAAGTAGTTATAGTTTGTCGGCGTAGCACGTGGTCGTCCACGCGTGCAAAGATTCGGACATGGAGAAGTAAAAATGACATGTAATCCATACAATTTTATTTGTTATAGAGCGAACGCGCGTTTCAGAAACAGCCCACGATCTTTCTTAACCGTAAGAAAGGTCTGGGCCCAAAGCGCAGGAAGCCTATGAGATACAGCCGCAATGTCGGACTCGGTTTCAAAACTCCTCGCGAAGTAAGTGTAAATCTGTCTTGCTCTGATGTTTATTGTTCTGATATGATGATTTTGGTTGAGAATCTTAGAACAGATGTATTTCATTTATTATTAATTTATTTCACATTCATATATAAGAAGCATATTGATTAAGATTGCTTTCCTTTTAGGAGATATATTTGATTTAAGTACTGCTTTATCTTTATTATTCATTGAATGCCAAGGAAATTAGAACAACGTTTGTGTCTCCTAAAAGGAAAGCAGCCTAACGCAGTGAGTACAGGTGAGTTTTTTAATTCGACTGATCAATTATAAATGCTACTTTTATGGAGTAAAATTATATTTGTGCATAAAGCAATTGATCAATGAATTAAAAACTCATCTTTTGTATGAGATGTAAATTGTTGAATGTACAAAGATTTAATCTGTTTTTATTTCTCTGCTAGATTGTACTAGAACTTTCTTTCTCGCTTTCATCAAATATTATATGTATCTATTTTGCTTTAGATTCCAAAAATGTATTTAATTTAGCTATAAAAACAGATCTATTCTATAATATTATTTAATTAGGATATAATTCATTGGGCTAAAGTGTATCGAATTAGAAATAGAGTTGATTAAGATTTAAATAACTATAGATTGTTTAATACATATCATAATTTTATAATTATTTTTATTATAATACCATTATTGTAGATTATTTTTATTACATTGGTAGATATGACCAAAATATTAATTGATAATATAAATATGATGATAACATCACGATGGTCTTCTGAAGATATTTTGAAGAGTCTATATTTTCTGAATGTTTTTACATCTATATCTTATTGGTAAAGGATATATAAGATACCTTATATATTTTGCTGGTTTAATCTTTGCAGGCTCTTGAGGGAACCTATATTGATAAGAAATGCCCATTCACTGGCAATGTATCGATTAGAGGACGTATTCTTACTGGCGTTGTACAAAAGATGAAAATGCAACGTACTATAGTTATTCGCAGGGATTATTTGCATTACATTAGGAAGTACAATCGGTTCGAGAAGCGTCATCGTAATATGAGTGTCCATCTCAGTCCTTGTTTCAGGTACATAGGCAATAAAATAATTTTTTTCTATTTATTAAAATTTTTTTATTTTCACTTTTATATGATGATAATTTACACGATGGTCTACTGAGATGTTTTGATGATCATTATATATCTGAGTTACAAAATAATGTTTAAAGAAAAATGAGTAATTAATTTAGCATTCATATTTACGAACTTTGTTATATTCCAGAGATGTAGAAATTGGTGATGTAGTCACCATTGGAGAATGCAGACCTTTAAGCAAGACAGTAAGATTTAATGTATTGAAGGTATCGAAAGGAACAGGATCAAAGAAAAGTTTCAAGAAATTCTAAACATCTTACAGCAA